TCGGCTGGCTTTCGTAATAATTATTGAATAATAAGTTATTTGTTTTTTAGATACAAAATTCAAATCGTTGAGCATACTCAAACTTGAGTGTACCGCAGAATATAGCAAAGGAGCTTTTGAGTGTGGAATATATGGTGAAAGGGGAAACCATATCAAGTTCTTGACCTGTAAAAGGAAACTTTGAGCGTGACGCCTTGTCCCGTTGGAAGCCTTCTCATAAAATTTGTTGGGAACATTTGTGATTTGGTTGTTGTTTCCTCTCTATCAGAACAGCGAACAGAAACATTCACCACTGTTTCCAAAAATGCGGTGTACTGAAATTCTTAACGATGCGTCCCCAAGCAACTTTAGCGGGGACATACACAGCGCAGGTTGCTTCCAATGGTGGGTCAACGTGCATCACTTCTATTATGATTCTTCTTCCTGTTGGAAAAACGGTTTGGGGGTTACAACTGCGTTTACGTTTCTCCCTGGTTTTGCTTAGTGTACCGCTCTCAAACCTTGAGGTACCAAGTAGTATTTTGTGGTTCAAAATGACTCTTTTGATTGGTAACACAGCCCGGAAGTAGAAACAGGTTTCAATTTGTTTCAATGCTTGTTTATTTGTTGCTTGGGCTTTCTTGGAGGCGGTGGCTCGGGATATCTAGCTGGAAGTAGTGGATGATTACTTGTCAGGAGTCTAGCTGTTGCTGATTTTACGTGTAAAGTGCGGCACTCTGACTTGTGGCAGCCTTGAGACCCCCAGAACCTTGAAAAAATGATGTTGACAAGGGTGGACTCGTTGAAGTGTTGAGTTGTTGACTTTTATCATGCGGAATTTGCTAATAATTTCGTTTTTGTTTCTGTCTCCTTTCCGTTCAAAAAATCAGATGAAGTACAGGTATTTGCGGCATGTGTTTTTCCCATAGTTCGTTCCTGTAGGAAAATACCTGTCTATCTTACATGCAGTTGGTATGGAGTATATTTGCATCTTCTGTGAAGTCTGTAAGTTGTTTCTATGCGCTGTCGCTACATGTATTTGTTTTATGTACTCTCTTTGAGACAACCCAGGCCCCCGCATCAAGTTATTCTAGAACGAACCACGCCCAGAATAGACTGGAGCATCCCTGAGGAATTCATATATGGCCACGTTTTCTCTACAAATAAGGCACCAAAATCAGCCGAGTTTTGAAGATGTCTTCCCCGGGAATACCCTATCTCATCCATCCAATTCAGGCACTGGAGGGGTGCTACATTTGTTTTGTTTCGTCCCAAAACCACCCAAAACCAAGCTAACCAGGCATCTGGGCGTATTGAACCCCACAAAACGAACACTCCGACAAAGCATGACAATACCTTTGTCTCGGACACGGTTTGGTCTTCGGACAGGGCCCGGAACACTAACTTAGCAACTGCTTGCAACTGTCAACACACCACGGAAAAGAAAGAAGCACACCTAGATTGCATGAATTTGCATACCCTTTGTTTCCCCTACAACTTCAGAAAGGCAAACATGTCCCCACAGTAAAGGGCCAACTTTTGAACATGTTTTTTTCGGTTGCGTCCTTACTGTGGGCCCTTTTGTGCGACATGGAGTCTCAAGCACCTCACCTCAGGACCCCAAGAAACTAACATAGCACCTGGGTGGATATTGTGTACGGCGCTTGGCAAAAAGACACCAAACGGGAAACCTAGACTTGTTTTGGGGATCCTATTTTTTCTCCACAACTTCTAAACAGGAAAATGTGTGCCACTTGGACAATTTTGGCTTGAGTCTGGACTATGCGCCCTTTTGTGCGCCAAGGAGTCTCATGCACCACAAGTTTACCCCCAAAATAAACTAACATAGCACCTGCTTGCACATGTCAGCAAATGACACCAGCAAAAGGATGTTGCATGGATCTGCACATCTACAGCTTTTGAGGTTACAAATGGACCACGTGGGCATTTATGGGTTGAGTCTGTACTGTGAGGATTGTTGTATCATGGTCCTTCATGCCCCACATGAACCTGAAAACTAACTTGGCACCTGATTGGATATTTTTCGGGGTACTGGGACACGACAAAAAAACACAAAAAAATAGGGGTTTGCATTGCATGGATTTGGGGATTATTTCCTTTACAATTTACAACGTCAAAAGGGAAACATGTGCCATGTTCATTTTTTTTGGTTGAGTCTGGACTGTCCGCCCTTTTGTGCGACATGGAGTCTCACACACCATAGGGCTGCGCAAGCTAACAGCTTGGAAATGTCATATGATGCCAGCTCAAAATGTTGCAAAGACCTGCAATGAGTTCCACAAGTAACGCACTTTTAAAAAAATACCACGTGAACATTCTCGGGCTGAGTCTGGACTGTGTTTTCTTTTAGTATTGTTGCTCATGCACAACACGACCCCGAAACCTAATCTGGGGCTTGATTAGATGTTAGATATGTTGCCACGGGAAGTGGGACATAATAAAGAAAACACATGAGTTTGGATTGGCAGGGATTTGGGGATCCTGTTTTACAACTTTTAAGTAAAGGTAAAAAATGTGCCATTTGGTCACTTTTGAGTTAATGGCGGACTTGTGGGCTTTTCCAGAGACGCAAGGCTGACAGGGTGAGCCGTCAAGTAGCTGCCAGATTTTTGTCACACAAAGCCTTGGCTACCCAAAAAACGGGCAAAACAATGTGTGTTTTTTGTTTGCTGTTACTGCCTGTTGTTCTGTTTCCATTCAGGTGCTTGGGTCCGTTTGGTGTCGTTTTCTAGTGTCGCGACATGGTTCACATCAGTTTGACTAACCAACAAAGAACAGGAGGGCGATTCGGGTCTTTCAAGGAGCGCGCATGTGTCCTTATCAAAGTTGTATTCAGTTTTCAAAATAGCACATCAGCAATGACATAAAATAGCACCTACATAAACCTCATTCTCTAGATGTGACCTGAGTCCTCAAATTTCTTCAAACAAATCCCAAGTATGTCTTCAACAGATTCTCTCGAGCATGCCCCAAGCATCCAGCAGAAGGGCAAGCATGGTGCATCAGGGTGTTGGCCGGAATTAAAATGGGTCCCAGGTTTGCCTCAAAAACAGCGGCATCTTTCACATGACCTTTGAGCATGATACGAAATTCACACCAAATACATGGATTTCCCTTCGGTGGTTTCTCTTCAACCCGCACATAAAGGATCCGCATGAACCGTGTATGGATCTACTTTCTTCCCTTCAATCTTTTCGAGTTGCTTTGTAAGTCTGGAGGAAAATTGAAGAAAATTGCGGAATAGTTAAGACCTGTCCCAAAAAGGATTCCCAAAATAATTTGGAGATTGGTGTTTAATTCCACATCAAGTTTTCGTCGCTTGCCAACTTTTGGTTGTTTCAACTCAGTAAATGCCAGGTAACCAAGCCTCAACAAGAACGAAGCTATGGAAGCTGACTGGAAAAATGCAACCTGTTCATTGCAATGACTGGTTAGGAACTACCTTTCTTACTGGCTTTTTTGAAGGCGGCCCACGGAAGACACCAACAAAAAATGACTTGAAATTATAGGTGCCGTCATTTGTATTTACTGCAGCTAGCTTTTCGGTTTGCAACGTGGAAAGAAACCAAATAGTTCTCAAGTTCACTCAAGTAGTAATTTGTGGCCTTGGTTTGGTTTTAGTTGATGGTTTGGTTCATGGACTGACAAGAAACAATTTCTGCGTCCTGTGCCATGGTCATTTGTGCTTACATGAATTTCCATGCTAACTATGTTATTCCCAAGTCATTGTTTCAAACCGTTGTGATCTGTGTGCTGTTGCTGGGGATGCCAGCGCCAGTGTGTGTGTAGCTGAGGCCAGCGTCAGAGGCGTTGTCTGAAAACAATTGGTTTCCATCGAAGGGGGTATGCCTTCATCTTCACACAAGGCGGTTTGCTTACCCCCATTGGTTTCTTCAACAAAAATACATCTGAACCTATACATGATGTAGTGTACAGCAATGCCACTCCATCCCGACCCATTGGATTGATCACACCGTTGCACTGTGCCCTTTTGTCAAACAGGATGAAAAACAGAGCTAATGGGTGTATATTATACTAAACTTGAGGGGCATTGTCCGCTGAGCTGAGGGTATATTACAATGCCATGTTGCCTTTTAAAACAAATTAAAATGTTGCTTTAAAGAAGCTAGACAGCAACGACCGCAATCAATCTCCAACTACCCAAAATCCGCTGCAAAAAACCTGCTGCATCACCTGAGTTTCAGGCATGCACACCGGGGATACTACTATATGATCTGTGACACCTGTTCCCTTCCACTCTGTGGCATACAGTTTTTCAAATGTACGATCTTCCTCTTTGGGGGTCAAGAAAGGTACAGGCAGAGACAAGTGAGAGACATTGCCCCAAACTAGCCACAAGTAGGGAATCAACCGCGAGACAAATGAGAGATAAACAATTACTTGGTTTGAAGATAGCCGCAGGTAGGGAAGAGTTGCAGAGGGGCAAAGCGGGACATCCGCAGGAGGGAGATGGGTGACAAATTGGAAAACAAGGAGACAAGGGCTCAATTTCTTCAATAGATAACTAGATGGACAAAATGAGTCTGGTCGCACATGTTGATCTTGCATAGTGTTTAGAAGGGCTGTACCGTATTGTCCCAATCATTCCCTGCCACGGAGTACCCCCCTAATGAACCAGTGTTTATTAATCCGTGGCACGTGGGTCTGGGTCTGCCTCAACCGCGTGCACTGTATCTTCTTCTGTGCGAAAAAAGAAGCTAGCAGTTATGACTCATAACGTCTCTGCTTGCTTTTACGTTTACGTTGTGCAAGAGGTGCAGAAACTGCGGGCATCACTTGTGATATTTGTGATTAAACCATCCAGCACAAATGCTTCCATCTGTGAAAGAGTTCAAATCGTTTCAATGACATTCAAGTAGTCACACATATCTCACCAGGAAGGCACTAAGACACACGGACCTACAACATCTCCCACAGGCTTCCTTTTCTCCTCACAAACTTCACCATCCAACCCCTTGGACATCCCCCCAGCCGGGCGCCTCAGCACCGGCATCGTCGATGCTGTTGTTGTTGAGGTAAAGCTCCTCCAAACTGTTGTTTTCTTTGAGCCCCTCTCCCAAGGCCTGGCCGTCTCGGGGCGACAGCATCGGGATGGACTCCCCTTTTTCTACGGCCAAGGCACAGGAACAGATCCGGGGGAAATCTAGAGGTGGGGCTCGTCCCAAACCAACATCAAATGGATGGGAATCACCAGGCCGTAGGGAACTATCACTTGTAAATCTGTTAATTACAGATAATTACAGTATTGCTGCGTATAATTACAAGTATTGCTGTGTAAAAAAAGGATTGAATGTCAAATATTCCGTCACCAAGAGAAAACGCAATGGTTCGTTCCACACAGATGCGCAAGAGCGAAGCAGATGAATCTGGTAGTGTCTGGCATTGTCTCTGATCTGTGGCAATGATCTAAGAAAAACTCATGCGGTTGCTCAACTGCAGTTGCCAATATCTACAGTTGCACAGTTTCTGACCGAACCAATCTCTCTCTCTCTCTGTAAATTCTCCACAATCGATCGGCATTTCAATCATACGTCAAATAGTCAAATCTTTGTGCTCTTCAAGTCTCTGGTTATTTTGGTGCAAACATGGATCAAACGATATTTCGAGTGACTAAACCATCCAGCGCAAATGTTTTCAGCTGTGAAAGAGTTCAAATCGTTTCAATAACATTCAATTAGCCACACATATCTCACCAGGAAGACACTAAGACGCACGGACCTACAACATCTCCCACACGCTTCCTTTTCTCCTCTCAAACTTCACCATCCAACCCCTTGGAGATCCCCCCCAGCCGGGCGCCTTAGCACCGGCATCGCCGATGCTGTTGTGGTTGAGGTAAAGCGCCTGCAAACTGTTGTTTTCTTTGAGCCCGTCTCCGAAGGCCTGGCCGTCTCGGGGCGACAGCATCGGGATGGACTCTCCTTTTTCTGAGGCCAAGGCACAGGAACATATCCGGGGGAAATCTACAGGTGGGGCTCGTCTCAAACCAACATCAACTAAATGGGAATCACCAGGCCGTAGGGAACTATCACTTCTAAATCTGTTAATTACAATATTGCTGTGTAAAAGGGATTGAATGTCAAATATTCCGTCACCAAGAGAAAACGCAATGGTTCGTTCCACACAGATGCGCAAGAGCGAAGCAGATGAATCTGGTAGTGTCTGGCATTGTCTCTGATCTGTGGCAATGATCTAAGAAAAACTCATGCGGTTGCTCAACTGCAGTTGCCAATATCTACAGTTGCACAGTTTCTGACCGAACCAATCTCTCTCTCTGTAAATTCTCCACAATCGATCGGCATTTCAATCATACGTCAAATAGTCAAATCTTTGTGCTCTTCAAGTCCCTGGTTATTTTGGTGCAAACATGGATCAAACGATATTTCGAGTGACTAAACCATCCAGCGCAAATGTTTTCAGCTGTGAAAGAGTTCAAATCGTTTCAATAACATTCAATTAGCCACACATATCTCACCAGGAAGACACTAAGACGCACGGACCTACAACATCTCCCACACGCTTCCTTTTCTCCTCTCAAACTTCACCATCCAACCCCTTGGAGATCCCCCCCAGCCGGGCGCCTTAGCGACGGCATCGCCGATATTGTTGCTGTAGAGTTCAAGCCGCTGCAAACTGTTGTTTCCTTTGAGGCTTTCCCCCAAGGCCTGGCCGTCTCGGGGCGACAGCATCGAGGTGGACTCCCTTTTTTACGGCCAAGGCACAGGAACAGATCCCGGTGAAATCTACAGTCGGGGCTTGTCCCAAACCAACATCAACTAAATGGGAATCACTTGGAAAACTTTCACAGGCAGTTTGGCAAAAAATGCGTGTTTAATTTCCAATTGCTCCACACGGATTTGTTTTCGTGTAACAAAGGAATCTGTTTGTTGGGCTCTGTTCTTTGGCTTTGTGAAAGACCTACAACGAGAGCTTGTGCGGTTGCTCAACCTACAGTATCTGAATTGTGCGGTGGCACAGCTTCTGACCAGACCATGCCAAACTAGGAACCCGGCGCATAGACGGCCGTGGCTCAAAATGAAGATTGAGTATCATCCAGCATTGATTTTCTGTGCGTTTGTAAGGGGATTTCTCAAGTTTCAGGTGTATACACTTTTTGTGGCTGAATTCCATTGGAAAGTTAGCTATATGGCATTTTCGCCTCAGCGAAACGATAATTTTAATGCTTTTTTGAAATGACGTAACTACTTTGTCTATGCCAGGATTTGCTTCTTTTTTTCCTCATCTGACTGCATCAATCCTGCGGCAGGAGGTCTTCCAAGTGTTCCAAAAATTCGCAGCAGCGTAGCATCCACGTATGTAGGCAAGGTACATGAACGTTAATATCCCCCCCACCCAACCCATGCCCAGTGACGTAGCAGCAGCGTAGCATCCACGTATGTAGGCAAGGTACATGAACGTTAATATCCCCCCCACCCCCCCCATGCCCAGTGACGTAGCAGCAGCGTAGCATCCACGTATGTAGGCAAGGTACATGAACGTTAATATCCCCCCCACCCCACCCATGCCCAGTGACGTAGCAGCAGCGTAGCATCCACGTATGTAGGCAAGGTACATGAACGTTAATATCCCCCCCACCCCACCCATGCCCAGTGACGTAGCAGCAGCGTAGCATCCACGTATGTAGGCAAGGTACATGAACGTTAATATCCCCCCCCACCCCACCCATGCCCAGTGACGTAGCAGCAGCGTAGCATCCACGTATGTAGGCAAGGTACATGAACGTTAATATCCCCCCCACCCCACCCATGCCCAGTGACGTAGCAGCAGCGTAGCATCCACGTATGTAGGCAAGGTACATGAACGTTAATATCCCCCCCACCCCACCCATGCCCAGTGACGTAGCAGCAGCGTAGCATCCACGTATGTAGGCAAGGTACATGAACGTTAATATCCCCCCCACCCCACCCATGCCCAGTGACGTAGCAGCAGCGTAGCATCCACGTATGTAGGCAAGGTACATGAACGTTAATATCCCCCCCACCCCACCCATGCCCAGTGACGTAGCAGCAGCGTAGCATCCACGTATGTAGGCAAGGTACATGAACGTTAATATTCCCCGCCCACCCCACCCAACCCCCTTTTGCTAAAATATGTATTTCGGTCCACGGCCGTCTATGCGCCGGGTACCAACTACTCCCTATAAATCCTCCATAATCATAGGACCTAGGACATGTTCAAATATGTTAAATCTTTGTGCTCCTCACATGTCACTAAGGAAGGTGTGAAAATGTGTGAAGTATAACAGGCCCACAGCATCTGCATGGTCTAGATCAGATCTTAAGAGGGGGATGCACTAAGCCCATGAAATTGCCAGATATAACAGTGTTGTTCAAAAATCACAGTGCAAATCCTTTGGTGCTTTCTGCATTCAATTCGCTGCCAGTGCGACAGCAGGTCGAAAGTCTATGCCAGAATTCTCATCCCAATGCAGGGGCCGCAAGTCAAGGAATCAACAGATCTACAAATGTTCCATCGTCTTCAGAAAGTATTGCGCCCTTTTCAAAGAGGTGCGGAACTCTTTTCAAGGACATATTGCACACACTTATATCAACCTTTAGTCCAGAAATGCCATGCTCTGGGCAAAGACCGCTGCGTACATATCATACAGAAAAGGAGTCTATGTTCACACAATGTTTCATTGTCAACAAAATGCAGTCTTTTTGAGAAGTTCTATGCATTTGAAGTAAACATTGCACGACATTTTATACACATGGTCTGCCAGAAATGCCGGGCATACAATCATAAAATCATGAATTTTGAAACGATGCTGCCCCCTTTCAATGCATGGATCCACCTCTTTCAAAGTAAGTTTGCTCATGACAAAGCTCTCTTTGACAGTACTACTGTGCTCATTTCAAAGAGTGCTGGGCTAAAGAGAATGCGCAAGAGAGACCACACTTCTTCAAGGAATCAAATCCCATTTACCCATGTTTGCCTTGTACAGAAAGCCCGTGTTGTAAATAAATCAGCTCAAATCATGGGATGTGGGGTCACTAGGTGGGAGGAAAGACCAATGTTGGCAAACCAACATCAAGCAAGCGGATGAATCGCCATGTGGAAAGACCAATCACTTCTAGTAAGTCTGTCATAAAAATTGCCAAAACAAAGATTGAATCTCACATGTACAATCGCTGAGAAAGAAAGCGGTTTGGCTTGTTCCACACAGATTTGCCTGATTTGCACACGCGGAACACATCAATCTAGCAGTGTCTGGCATTTGCTCTGTTCTTTGGCTCTGTGAATGACCTAAGGAGAGCTTATGCAGTGGCACACCTTCTCACCACATTGCATTGTTATTCAAAATCTCACCTAAGTTCCTATTCAGACCATCCCCGAGACGTGCCACAACGGGCAATTCGCACACAGCGGAGCTAGGAAGCCTGCTGACGTGCAATGTCGTGCAGAAGCAAAACAAAACCAAAGAAAAGAACACCGTGCCAAAAAAATAACTTCTGTTGAACAGCGTCTGGCTGGATGGGAAAGCCGATGATTTCAAACATTTCTACAAACTGAAAAGATTCGGACAGCTCAGATATACTGGGTGATCTTATTGAATACATCCCATCTGAATCCTGAACTTTCAAAACTTTCAAGATTCGCCGCTCCGGCACAGAACTCCACGGCACCTCCCAAGATTTCGGTGGGAAATTCATCCCATCCCTTCCCGACTCTCCCGGACTCTTCCGGCGCAGCGGTGCCTCGGCACCTTCGGCTCCGATCTCGTTGTTTCCGAGCAAAAGCACCTCCATCGCGGTGTGCTTCATGGCCTCCACCACCACCTGCAGGTCCGAGACAGCGCCCCCCAGGTGCAGAAGGTGTGCCGTTCGTGTCGAGCTCGAGATTACAGGAGCCAAATACGTCCCTGCAATGTATGTGATCCAACTAATACTATATATATAATTGTAACTTATTATAACTACGTATAATTATAACACTAATTATATACAAGCATAACTAATTCATACTGACACTTTGGACAGCTCTTGCAGTAGAGCCATCTTTCTTGATAGAACGGCACTCATCTGGAAAGCTTTGCGCTTGCAGGAGGTGAGTGACCCACCTTTTAAGCACCTAGATGGCTGGTGACAAATTAATCAAACAGCACCGGTGTCATGAGGTCAAGCAACGCACCAAACATTTCATTCCTGGCGAATTTTGGTTGGATGATGTTAGACGTAATTGCTTAGTGATGTTTGGGTTTGATGTCATGGAAATGTCGGCTGCAAAGGCTACTTCATGGACTTTCATCACGTGCGAGATCAGAAACCTCGTGCCTACCTAGTCTACTATCTGATACCAGTACTGTGATACTTCAAAAACGTGACAGTCCAAGATGATCAAGGATGTTCTACATCTAAATCACCTCATGGAAGGTATGGGGTACCTGATCCCAATCGGATTTGGTAAGGGCCAATGCAGCAATACGTAGCCTTTGCCTTCGCAGCTTAGTTGAATAAAATCTGCGCACATGACTCTGTCTGGGTAGAATCACTAAATCAATATCCACTTTCCAATCATGCCACCAATATCCACCAATGATGGTCTTGAGTATTGAATACCGAGTATTGAGCGTTCCATGGATAAATCCTCCAAAATCCCGCAGTGATGAAATCACCAGGCTCTCACCACCTCCCGCGGCTTGGCACCTTGGCGCCAGAATTGCCGATCTTCTGATACCGGAGACTGCACTTGGCCTTCGAGCTGGGCGCCAAAGGAAAGGCCCCGACCCCGTGAGGCGCTCCGACTGGGCACCGTTTTTCCGGGATCCGAAGATCCCGCTGGACAGCTGCCATCCCACGGT